ACCTCAAATGGGCTTTTGACCTTTTGCTAAGAAACGGTTGCCTCGGTTCTGGGGCACTTTGGAGACCAACCTGGAATTTGACCTAGTCTGAACTTATTTTCCTAAAGGTCATGACCTAGCAAGCTCAAACTTTCACCTAAGTGAGTTCACGTACAGGTCAAAACGCCCTCTTAATTTGGTGTCTCTAGCTATCTTAGTTCTCGAGATCTCAGTGGGGTCAACTTGACCCCCCCCCCCCGAACGAAGTGTATCTAGCCTGCCACCCGGGCGCGTGTTAAATCTACCGGCAAGGCCTCTATTACATAGCCTAGAGTTATGTTAATGCGTTCTACGCACGTGAAAGGTCATGTGAACAGCTTATGACGCATGTGGCCAGCGGTCCTTTTCATAATCACATCATGAGGCGCCTAGATTCCTACCACTGTAACATTTGCGCGTAATATTTATACTTTCGGAGCGGAAGGGAGCTTTGGATTGTCAACGCGGATTTCGCTCCACTCAATCTGCGGTATCTTAAGTTGTCTCAACCGTCATAACCTTTGAGGTCGGCCCCAGAACGGAAAACGCATCCCAGGGAATGCTATGCCATGGAGACGTATTGCCATCCGTAAGGTTGGCTGATCGCCGCAACTGCTTTGCGGTACTCAAGTATAGCAAAGCAACTGGAAAAGGCCGACGTCCATGTTGGAGCGGATAGGTATAGGGCACTAGTGCAACTAGACATTGACGAAAGGGGAAACAAATCATTTCAAAAGTAATTTTTCCGAACACATCACTACAAATCTTCTTGTTTTTTCCAACGCTTGCTGTGTAAACTAACTCCACTTCCTGTTGTCATAGATTTCGACCAAATGTTCGTAGCTCATGCTGGTTTACCCATACATGTTAAGCGTAGCTCCCAGCAGCCGGCTCTGCAATAAAATGTTTTATGTTAGCTTTTTTAAAGCTGCAAGGCTCCGCATCAGCTACTTTTACCAATTCGCAGAAAGCTAAAGCTTTAAAATACCACGCTGGAGCTGTAAACCTAAGGCTGTATTTAGAGTAAAATGAGTCCATGGCGTTGAAGTTCCCCTCTTTTGCACTTTACCATTATTGCTAAAGGGTCTTTCATTGGTCCAGATTAGAGCATTAGCGGTTTATGTAGTAGCTATGATAGAAACAGCCGTGGTTGAAAGTCGGCTAAGGCAACAGGTGTAGGAGCTTTCACGCTGAACTTACCATTTAAGAGTTTTCCGACGAATGGATTGCATCTTGTAAAGATAAATATCGAGGCTATGACGGTTATCTCTAACTGACGGTCTGGTTGTCGCTTACCCAGTACTTTCTCCCAAAGTGAGGCTATTTTGGGTTTATTCTTTTTCTAAACCAAGGTAGCATTAACTCATCAGTAATGACGGCGATGAGTACGGTTTTAACATTGATACATTAGCCCTTAGCGCTGAAATAATGCATGCATGGTCGATGTTTTGCATTCATAGCTGAATTGGGCATGCCATTATGATTAATCCATTATCAACCGATATCCACTGGAGTAAATGCCCGTGATAAGTGGCCGTTGTGTTTTGCTAGACCAGCTCAATCACCATCACGTTTTCAACAAACATAACATACTATGGGCGCCACAAAGGGCTCTAAAACTTTAACCTTCATTTTCAGGAGACATTAAATTCAAACAGCACCACAAAACCAATGATGCTAGCAGCGGTTGCATTTATAACTATTACAAAAACATCCCACCGGGTCGCTTAAAGCAATTCAGGAATCATTGGTACCACCCTAATGTAATATGATGAATAGCCCACACTGACACCAAACATTAATTTTGTTTTAATTTTAACCTTTGGTTCAAGCCATTAATAAGATATAGACATGGTATCCCAGAGACTTATCTTGCAAACTGATTGCCAAGGGAAATGACACGTCTTGCACTCCCAAACACTTCAAGACGAGCCAGCCTTTTCTACAAGTATGACGCCTTTTCTACGCTGCGCCGCTGAACTCATGTTTTGTGGCTTGTCAAGGAAAAAAGAGCACTTTCTACAAAAAAATCTGCGAATATACATACCCATCACATACATACACACAAGATATCATTAAACATAAGTACTGATACGTGTTATATATAACTTATATGGGTTTACTGGAAACACCCTCTGAACTCTGAAGGGGACATTTTCAAGCCAACGTGGCGTTTTTAACGCGTTGAGGGCGCTGTATCATTCTTTAGGGACGTATTTCCAGGTTTAGAGCCTCTTTAGGGCGGAGGGTTCTAGCTTTCAGCACACCCACGGTCTCCTTTTTTAGACCCAAACACCACGCCTTTAGGTCTGGGCGGCGATCTGTCTGTACTGAACGGCGCATTTTTACTGCATAATTTGGCAACCGCTTTTAGCCATCATTAAACAATTAAGTGGCGTGCACTGAACATTCGAACGGAAGGTGAGACTTCTCCCGTAACGGCATACTCCTAGATCCCCCGTTGACACAGAAACGGCTCATGTACATAGGCATATTATTAATCGTGTGTGCTTGATTCAAAGCTGCTGTTTGCCGCTTGGTTCTACCAACAACAAAAAAATACATGGCCTTGCAAAGCATGTTTTACTCCACTTCAGACCTGTCCTAATGCGTTCCAAATATGTGGAATTAATGTACGTCTAAGGCAAGTTTACGCCCTGACAGCCATGTGGAGCACCAGGATAACGTAATCGGCCCGTATATTTGGTAATGTTTAGACGTCAGATTGACCTCCGCCACACGGAGCTCCAGCTAATTTGTTGCACGAAAAAAGGTCAACATACCCCTGTGAGAATCATTACTTTATAAATCAAGAGCTTGTGCTCACTCAAGGAGATCTGTGTATACAACAGTGTACGCTTCCGGTATGACTTCCATTAAGTTCCACCCGCCCGGAGCTTCGGGTCTCCGGATCCGGATCCGAGTGAGTCCCACCCGCCCGGATCCCACTTGCCTTCTCCACCCGCCTATTCCTTCTTACACTCACCACCAGGCAAAGCCCTTCTGCTGGCTACCACCGTGCACGAACTTTAACAACTTGCCTTTAACTATTAACTTAATTAGCTTCATTACCCCATAACTTCATTAAACGTCATGCCTGTCAAGTCGGAAACAACAACTTCCTCCAACTGCACAAAGCTAACATGTCTAATCCCGACCCAAGCCGTACCCACCTCATCACGGGAACTCGGCACGTTGCTGCTATTGGAACTCGAAAACCAGCCGATACAAAAACAGAACAATGGGCATCTACCCTGATGCTCGTGCAGTTATGGCTCGGAAGACTAATTCCAGCACAACGTTGCCACCGCTCTAACCCCACCTAAACCGGAGTTTGGCGGCTTGTCCTACCCCAACGCTATTAAACTCGGAGATAGGAGGCTTGTTCTTAGTGCTCTACCTATCTCAGCACCCCGACCACATCCCTGTCGCACACAGGGGCCCGGCTTCCTCCCAGGCGGTCCTCAGGGACACAGTCTACCTCTCGGACCGTCCCAGAGACAAGGCCACCTCCCTGAAGCACTCAAGGAACTGGCATCTCTTGGAACTGTACCCAGGGGCTGGGTCATCTCCCACAACGTCCCAGGGACCTAGCCTTCTCCTGGGCCATCCCATGGACTTGGCCTTCTCCCGGGCCGTTTATGGACTTCCAAGGCCGTCCCAAGGGACCAGGACAACGTCCCTGGTTGTTTCCAGGGTCCCAGCCACCACCTGGGCGGTGCCACGGTACCAGTTGCCCGGAAACCTCCTGATCCTTCCCCGGGGGGCAGGCCTCCTTCCAAGCTCCTCAAGGACCAGGCCTCCCCAATGCCTCTACCAAGGACCAGGCCTCCTCACGGGCCAATTCCAGGGACCCAGCCACCCCGGGCCGTCCAAGGAACCTGGCAGCCTCTCGAGTCTTTCCCATGGACCCAGACACTTTCCGGACAGTTCAAGTGACCTGGAAACCTCTCCAGCCTTCCCCAGGGACCAGACCTCCTCCCAAGCCACCCTGCGGACCCGGCAGTCTCCCGAGCCTTCCCGGGCCTAGCAGTCTCTCGAGCCTTCCCCAGGGACCAGACCTCCTCCCGGGTCGCCCCAGGGACCTGGCAACCTCCCGGGTCGCCGGGTCGCGCTCGATGTCGCGCTGAATACCCGACGGCGGGACGATTAGCCAGCGGCCAGGCGGCAGGCGCCGCTGCATTGTCGGCCTTTGTGCCGGCGGCCGCCGACTGAATACGTATGGCCGGTGACGGACAAAGCGCCGCTCGACCCGACGTCTAACTGGCGGCCGCCGGGCCCGCGCCGATGAAACGCCGCCGTCCGGTGCTTGATTTGCATCGCGAGGCGCGCCGCGCCGCGCGGAGAGGCTGGTACCGGGCTGCCAGGTCCGGGCACCGGCGTCGACGCGGCGCGTCCGCTCGTTAGTCGCGGCATGTAACGACAGACGATTGTGCCCTGATGGCCGCCCGTTCGGCGTAATCTGGCAGGGCCGTGTTCAGACCGGGTCGATCAGCTCCGGCTGAGGTTTTTCATTAAAGTCGGCGTGGCCGGCTTTGATCTGGGTCGGCGGAGGCAGGGAAGACGCGAGGCGTTCCTGAGTCCGGCGGTGTCCGGAACTTGGGTCGGCACCACGGGCCACTTACCACCCACCGGCTCACATCGCGCACTGACCTTGGTGTGGGGTCATTCACTGCCATTAGTGTTGTACCACTCGCTGACCTGGTCTCCCGTGCAATTACTACAGCACCGACAAAACGATCCTTATTGAAAAATTGAGCTCTTATATAAAAAATGGAGATTTGGGTTATTGCTGACCTGGGTCTAACTTCATCAGTCTCTTAGGAGATGAAGTATTTCCCCTGGTTGTGTCTGCGGTAGCTCACGTGAGACTTCATCTCCTTATATCGGAGCGTGACATACCACAAACTGGGGTGCGCCCGATACCGGTTCTGGCGGGGCAGCTTTCTTCCGCCATAAACGGGACCCATGACCTGACTGACCTGGGCGTGAGGTCACTGACGGTGGAAGACGGCGGGTAGCAGAGGCCGTGATCCTTGAACGGCTCACTGTGGAAGCCAGTGGTGCCGGCGTGGGTGTCCTTGTACAGCTGAGAAGCCGCCTCTCGCACCTCCAGGCCGTTACAGGTACGGATCAGCACTCTGGCGACACGGGACAGGGTCTGAGAAACTCCAGCCGTTACAGGTACGGATCAGTGCTCTAGTTATACGGGACAGGGTCTGCAAAACTCCAGCCGTTACAGGTACGGATGAGTGCTCTGTTTATACAGGACAGGTTCTGCGAAACTCCAGCCGTTACAGATACAGATCAGTGCTCTAGTTATACGGGACAGGGTCTGAGAAACACTAGCCATTACAGGTACGGATCCGCACCCTGGCGACACGGGACAGGGCCTGAAAAACTCCAGCAATTACAGGTACGGATCATTACTCTCGGTGACACGGGACAGGGTCTGAAAATATCCAGCCGTTACAGGCAGGGATCAGAATTCTGGTGACACGGGACAGGGTCTGAGAAACTTTAGCAGTTACAGGTAGGGATCAGCACTCTGTTGTCACGGGACAGGGTCTGAAAAAAACTCCAGCCGTTACAGGTACGGATCAGTACTCTGGTGACACATTACAGGGTGAGAGGAACTTCAGGCGTGACAGGTTCAGTTCAGCGCTCTTGTAAAGTAAGACACGGTCAGAGGAACTCTAGCAGTTACACTCTAGTCATATGGAAAGGGCCAGCGATCTTCAGCACGACGGCAATCCATGCTGCAGTGACGTCTTTTGAAAACCCAAGCAATCAACAGTTTGCTGAACACAATACATGGGCTGAATTAACTACTAATCTGAAACCATAGCGACCAAAACGAAATGCCTTTGATATTGCAATTTATGTAGCACTTTAAATTATAATGAAGTTGTGAGCGAAACTGAAATCTAAACGTTTTATGCTTCAGGCTGGAAAGTTAAAGTGTGCATCACATGATCATGCACACACACACACACACACACACACACACACACACACACACACACACACACACACACACACACACACACACACCACACACACACACACACACACACACACACACACACACACACACACACACACACACACACACACACACACACACACACACGCACGCACGCACGCACGCACGCACGCACGCACGCACGCACGCACGCACGCACGCACGCACACACACACACACACACACACACACACACACACACACACACACACACACACACACACACACACACACACACACACACACACACACACACACACACACACACACACACACACACACACACACACACACACACACACACACACACACACACAGGCCGCAAGTTGGCGGGGACTTTGTGGCTAGATGCTCGTCGCATATCGCGTTTGAATGGCGGAAATGCTTCTTTTTTTGACGAACGAGGAGTCTAGAGGAGAGCCGGAGCTTTGTTTAAAACACGAGCCTGAGTGGCCGGTTGAATACCTTTCATTCGGATGGGGGGTAAATTTACACCCACCCTAAGATCTCACGAACTAACATAGCCAGAGACACCACACCGACAACGTGTGTTGTTCCGCGTGTAACCTCACTTGCGTCGAAATTTGAGGTTCCTTGGTCCTGACCTGCGGGTCGAGTAAGGTCAAACAAAGTCAAACTTCAGACTGGTATCTAAAGTGCTGCAGCCCTTCTCACACAACGACCTTCCGACTAGATGCCTGTTCTAAGCAAAAGGCCACTGTTTCTCCTTGAACGCCAGTGACCTTGTTTAACCTTTCAAAGGTCATGGTGACTAAAAGCATACAAAACTGCTTTGATTTTGCACTTGAATAGGATAAACGTCAAGAATCACGCTAGGCAACATGTTCCAAAATATGTAATACTTACCTAGGCCATTTTAGGTCAATGTCCATTATGACCTTAAAGAAGCCAACAGAAGATGTTTATTTCGGTCCCTGTTCTCAATCAATTCAAGATAAGCACCAGAAACAACTACCTCATACAGCATGTTCTTGAATAAAAAACAGGCCTGACTTTGATTTCGACCTGACATTCATGCCTGACCCTAGGTCAATTACATTTGTTAGTTCAATTGTTGTGTTGCTTTAGAAACTTTTCCAGAGATGCATGGTTTCGTCTAACACTCCGTTTTCGTATCAGATTGAACGATTCCCTTGAACTGACTCCGCTGAATGCATGTCCTGACTTTGGCTTACGGTAGGTCAGCGACTCAACAAGGTACATCTAATTTTTTGGCACCAAACGATCCGCAATTACATTGCCACATCTATGCAAAATTTGGAATTCAGAATTCGGAAATTTCTGGATTCATTCTGGAAAAACTTCAGGGATTAAAGCGACCTCCGAGGGCGTGTTGAACCATGCTGGCGCAACAACTAAAATAACGCAAATCAACCTTATGTTTTTAGGAGCATACTGCCTAGCATAATCTTTGTCGCTTATTCAGATGCAAAACGTAAAGCAGTTTTGTATTTTTTTGGTCTCCATGACCTCTGAGAGGTCATACAAGGTCAATCATCCTAAATAAATGTGAACTATCTCTTAAAACACATATCTACGTTCCGCGGGCACTTTGAACACCAACGTGCAATTTTGATCTTGTTTGATCTTATTTGACCCAAAGGTCATGGCCTAGAAACCTCGGGCTTTGACCCCAGTTAGTTCACGTACAGGCCAACACACCCCGTGAATTTGGTGACTCTAGCTCTCTGAGTTTGTAAGATCTCAGGGGGTGAAATTGACCCCCACCGAAGGAAGGGCATCCAACCGGCCGGCCGCACGCTTGTTGCCCTTGGACGCCTGCCAGGTGACCTTTGCACATTACCCCCGTCAGGCAAAGCCTGCGCATCGAGCCCAGGCGACGTGGAACAACACATCACCGACTGCACTGAACGCCAATGCTGTTTTCTTCCGGTTGACCTAATTTTTGCACTTGAGAAGTCTTTATAAAAAGCATGCCGGCGACGTGGTCGGAGTGAAGGATCCCATTACGCTATTGGAACTTTCATAATGTTCATACATTATATGTTTAACCCGACATTTTGTGGGATGAGGTGGGAAGGAAATGAAACATGTTGGTGAAACACTCTTAGCCATTCTATATATAAAAGGAATGCTCTCTTCCCGCTGGATGTTGGGAATTGGCTGATCTTCAAAACATGACATCTTATTTTCAGACCAGATTCCCATCAAGATATCAGTGAATAAGCACCACCGACTTAGCCGCCTAAGTCAGAGGGCCAGCTATCTTTACCCGTAAGCGCGGGCAGCCAGATAGCCCCCGAAGTATGCCAAGCACCTTTGCAATTAATGGACTTAGACTCCAAGGTACAAAAGACCAGGTCTTGCGCGATTACGAATCCTTCGCTTATGCAAGTGAAATGTTTCGTTGCTATGGCTGCTTTCCCGCACGAATACTACACATTTTTAACCTTTCAAATGCTGCGAAGTTTTGTACACAAATGCTAGTTGTTGAGTGAAGAAGTCTGAAGAGCTCGCACACCATTCATTCACACAAAGTGTTTTAGAGAGCTCCAAACTATTGGTTGTAAGTAAAGCATTCGTGGGATTGCAGAAAGACCTCTTGTGATTGCCCCGCCCCCACCCGTCCGTTTCTAACACAATACATGTGTTAACAACATTAACATACACATTACAACACCACTGAATCATGAAGAACTTATCGCGATTTTCACAAAAATTTCAACGGGTTTAAAAATATATCATGCAGTAGCAGTCGGCGAAGAACGCCCAAGACCTGCGTTAGGTAGTGCCAGCACCCGTGTCGCCTGTCACCGACCTGTGCCGGCCGTTGGTGACGACTCATGACCAGCGTCAGTTGGTGCCAGCAGCTGCGCCCTGTCTCACCGACCTGTGCCGGCCGGTGAGGACGGCTCATGACCTGCGTCAGGCAGTGCCAGCACCTGTGCCACCTCTCACCGACCTGTGCCGGCCGTTGGTGACTGCTCGTGACCTGCGTCAGATGGTGCCAGCAGCTGTGCGCGGTCACACCGACCTGTGCCGGTCGTAGGTGCTGTACTGGGGGCGACGCATCACCAGCAACCGGGGCAGGATATGGATGAACACCCGCCGCACCCACGGCGCCATCGAGTGGGTCTGCGGCGACCGGAAGTGAATGTTGAGCACTACCACCGTCACGCATATGCTGAAACATGGCGGCAAGAGGGCCGCTGGTTAGAGCGGTGTAATCACGGCCGTGATCAAAACGACGTGCAAGCGGAGTCATAACAGAGGTCGGCGGACCGTCCGGACAGGATTTAGCAGCTCTGGCCGGACGCGTCGTTTATCCCTGGTTTAGCAGCTCTGGCCGGACGCATCGTTTATCCCTGAAGCTAGACCGGCTTTGTCATCCTGATTTTTCATCTACCCCATCTTGCAGCATTCAGGTCATGTATAAGCCTGAAGTCTGGCTTAGTTTGCTTCAAAATGGCATGGGCCAAATGTCTGCAAATTAAAGTTACAACTTGACTGTCGCGGTCTGCGCAAATGCCTGGACTGATTTTCTGGAAGCAACGTCTTTGGTCCAACTGTGAATATTGGACTCGAAAGCAAACAGCGGGATGAGAGCTGACTCCATAAGGTCTATTGGACTGACCTGAATACATAGGCTGGACTGTAAATTCTGTTTACAAGCACATGAGCGAACTAGATCATGTTACTATTTTTCAGTTCAACTGAGACCAATTCATGAATATGAAGTTGAGAATACGATGCCACCCTTTTCTACTTGTTATGATACAATGAACTTTGCTCTGAATGGTCAGCTAAACGTTACGCCCACGGCGCCGTGGTGATGAGAGGATGAACTCTGTGACGCAAAGCTGTGACGTTAAAGCACGACGTCGTGGTTTTGCACATAGGACGTTACGAGCCGTATTCCGCTCGGAGCATAAGACGTTCAAGATTATGGTGCGTAGGCCACGAGCAGTGTGAGCGGCTGACACTCAGCCAATGTTTTCAGAATATACATCCATTTTACCCGCCGCGAGTCAACTTAAATAACGGGATCAAGTGCATAAATATTAATGACGTATTTCTGGTGATAGATGCCTTTTCGAGAAATCGGGAGGCGTTGTTTCATTTTCATCTCGCGCCTGGGACTCGTGCACTGGCCAACAATGCAGCGATGGAAGAGGGAAGTCCATGACTGGCTAAATCAGGTCACAAAACGTCTTATCGATCCAGTTTTTGGACATCAAGTACGGAACGAGATGATGCAGCTATATAAAGGCATCCAGTGCCAGTGTGAACTGTACACACATAACCTCAATCCGCAGTTCATGGCAAAGAACATCATAACTTGGCCGTTACCGACACGTTCAGTATCATGTCTCAATCGCAATTAATTACTTCATCACCAAGCTTCCACTAGTCCACGCATAGTCCACGTATATTCGCCGTCAACTGAACAAGAACTGCAACATAGATAAGACAGTAGTAATAGCCTTATTCCCGGGAGAAAAAAAGACAGGAAAATGGAGGTATGAATTGATTGACTTCTCGACAGCATGCCTCTATCGAAACAACAGCAAAAGTCCGGAAGACGACTTCTGCTATTGTTTCGATCAAGGCATGTGTCGAAATATCAACCTATTTCTATCTCCATTCTCTTGCTCTTCCCCCAGGATTAATATTTCTCCAGGAATAGCATTCTCTTGTTTTTTTCTCCGCGCTCGGCAGCTTACGTAATTTAGAACTGTTACGTGTTCATCATCAAATTCCTGCCGACTTTGACGCAACCGGTGCCCGCGTGAAATCGACATAGCATACCCACTACCGTGCGAAACATGGCTTGATCAATACGAGCGTGGTATGTACCTCAACGTGTCAAGTATCATCGTGAAGAGGACGAACTTGCCGAGCAGGGGCACCACCAGCGAAGTCGGTGGGATGATCTCGGCGAGCAGAAGGAAGAACACAGTGAGCGACAGCAAGATGCTGATGGACAAGCTGACCTGGCGACAAACAGGGATGGGGCGATCAGGAGCACGCGGGCACGCAAAGAGTTCATGTACATGGTTACCATAACGGGATGGTTTGCGTGCGTGCGTGCGTGCGTGCGTGCGTGCGTGCGAGCGTGCGTGTGTGTGCGTGCATGCGTGCGTGCGTGCGTGCGTGTGTGCGTGCGTGCGTGCGCGCGTGCGTGCGTGCGTACGTACGTGCGCGTATGTATGTGTGTATATGTGATTATCGTGGTGTAGCTTTTTGTCCATTATGCCGAGCGCCAAAAAAGTACCACACCAAAGTACCACACAAGGGATTACAAAGCTTAAGAATATAATCTCATCTATTCTATGGTTGCATTTAACATTAATACATGCCTTTTTGATATTACATAATTCAGCCTCCTACACGAGGCACTTATAAAAGCCCAACCATCATGCTTGTGCAATTACATCCAACTTGCCTTTCTTTCAATCCTATCGTTTGCACACATCAAGCTGTGATCTGATGTATGCATTTATAATTTCACCTTTAAATGAAAGCCTTATGGACAAAAACAAATGTGGTGAATTTTGCTGGACCCACGGTAATCTGAACATCGCCCAGCATCCGTTCCGTGACCGAGTGTTTCGTGCGGTCCAGCACTATGGCGGCGCTTTAAACTGAAACCCGCGATAAGGGCGAGGATACGTGAACGAACTAAAAACCAAACTCGCGCGGGTCAACAAACACACCTTCTCTCCACTATCCGACGGGAGGTAGAAAACCAGCACCGTCAAGAAGGAGATGCCCATACAGGGGATGATGAGGTTGACTGTGTAGAACAGCGTCTTCCTCCGCATGGTGATGTTGAACGTGATGTCCAAGTAGGGCTCGTTACAGCACGTATAAAACTTTTCGTGTCTGCAACAAAAGCAGAATTGACAATGACTGTGCTGCAACTGCGGCGCAACTCGTGCAGTCACAATTTACAAACTGTCCACCTATTTTCTACGTGAAATGTTGGTTTGGCCAACTGCTTTTCGGACATTCCATTGATGCCATCATGCTAGTATGACGCACACTAGGCCGACATTTGTATTAGACACATCTTCCGAGGCACCGACGTAGCTAACTGACCGCTAAAGTGATGAGACAATGCACGGAGTCAGTATTCATCGGCATTTGCCGAGAATGATCAGCTTGTACATCAGAACTGGTAGAATGAATGTGAACATGTCGAACAGACATAGATGATAACTCACTTACCGTATTGCTGGCACATCTAGTATATCCCACTCTACGGAGAGGTAGAAGTCAGATAGGTCAACTCCGATCTTCACTTTTGGATCTGGAGGGGTCTCCTCCACGTGTCGAAGGTCCACCTGCAATAATAGCAAAGCCCATGCGGTTTGCCATGTCAGACATGGTTCGAGGGATGAATTACAATGTTGTGCCACGTCAGAACTCGTGGTGGTTTGGACACCTGGGAGGGTCATCAGAGGACCAGGTCATCTGTCATTGACCGAACCTTGGCTGTCGGTCACGCTTACTGATCAGCGGAGCAACGGCCCAACCGACCATTTCGGAAAGCGCACGGAGTTGGTATGACCCCACGTTGACCTCACTTTGTCAACAGCACTGCAAACAGGCAGCAGGGGGCACGCCAGGTGACGGCTCTGGTCACCCGAGGCGACTGGTTATCACAAACTCCTTACAAATTGTGTATCCAGCTGCATCAAAGCATGTTGTTTCAACACGCTTCTAATACCTCGCCCCGTTTGTGAGTGTATTATTAAATAGCTCAAACGCGCAGTTATAATCGCACCAACTGCAAACAAGCTATGTACACAACGGGAACACCCCAAGTTCTAAAATGTTTCGTGCTTTGCATTGCTTCAGTGACAAAGATAACAGCAGACTATTATCCAAGTGAAGCTAAGCTCATGAGAACAGCCTGTGGCACAAACATTTGAGTGTTTTTTTCTAAAATATAAATTCTAGCCGTGTATGACACGACAGTGGACGGTATTTAATTATGCAACTGTAGTTCCACCCAAAAGTGCTCCCAGTTGAATAATGCATGAAAAACCAAGTAGTCTGTTAATTTGCTGGCGTCACGAAGTTTGGCGAAAAGATCTCGACTGAAATGAACGCAACAACTGCATGGACAGGTGGTTAATAACCTGACATCGTATACTCCTTGCATTATTTATACGATCTATAGATCACGCGTTTATATTGCCTGTTTGTTAACCCTAAAACCGCGAGCTAACTGCATTTCAACCTGAATCGGATGGGCTCATGGATTAGTGTTGACTCAGGAGAAACAAACAGACGTAAAGTGACTTTCTTCAGCACCGTATTTTCACAGAACTGGAACTTTCAAACCTAACCTCGGCTCTCCAAGCGGTCATGGCCGAATAAGATCCCACAGCTCTTTTTCGAGCGTCCGGCTACTCCATCACAAAGTCCACAGCTCGGGGCGCCATTACATCTTCCCTACTGACACCCTCTCGTGCGTCAGACCCTCAGAATTAAACCAGTAGCCTCTCCCGAATATCCGGGGACCGCGGGCGCCCGCGGCGACGACGCCCGCGGCGCGATATCTCCGGAGTGGAGGTGCCCAGTCGGAACGCGGCGTTCCGTCTGTCACGTGACCCGCAGCCCGTGACGACCCCCCCCCCCCCCCCCCCCCAGTCGGAACGACGACACGGGTCGTGGCGCCCGTGAATAATGGATGAATTCGGCGAGCGGGCATTAGCTGCAGTCGGGCTCGTCTTGCGCTGTGATCTTGTCCCCAGCGCCGACGCTGCATAAAGACGGACGGAGGGGGGGGGGGCTCCTCGCGGACCACCTCACCTGCTTCCCGTCGTACGTCCAGCTGCCGAACTTCATGACGCACGTCTGCTCGTCGAAGGGGAAGTATTCGACGTCGATCTCGCAGGAGGACTTGTAGATGGCCGGCGGCTTCCACTCCACTTTGCCGTCATAGTAGAGCGTCGCCTTCGTCGCCAGTGTCACCTCGAAGTTGCCGTCCGCACTGCGGGGTAAGGGAGTGGTAGGCTCGCGCTGCGTGAACTGAGAGGGCTGGTAGAATGTAGAACAGTTAAGCGACTTTCCGCCTCAAAGTGAAATCAAGGAGGCAACTCAGGCAGGGCGGTGTTCTCGGGTTGTTAAAGATTTCCGTGAGTTGTTATGGAAGTCATTAAAAAGACTCAACAAAATACCCAAAACTTGTTCCATCCCAAAAACTTGCGTCGTAGACGTAGTTTATAACTTGCCATTAATAAAACTTGATATTGTATTCACGCCGTTTATGATCTTTCAGAATAATTAACCCCAACACCGTACATGACAACAGCTGATTCCATTGAGTCATAGACTAGGAGATCTGTGTAAGCGATAGTGTCTAGGGACAGCGGTCACCACACCATGTGATAAATTTTGCAGCTTGTCCAAAATAAACAGAACGTTTCATGGTATCTTTCTGCCACGGCTGGAACTCTCTTTGACTTGACAGGCTCGACATGTCTGTCCGCCCATGTTGAAGAGGCGGGGGGGGGGGGGGGTCCCGGGCTCTCCGATATCTAACTAAACCAAAGGAAGAACCCACAAGGGACGTCCTCGTCGTCTACCTCGTTCCCTCCGCCCTCACCTGCCCAAACAAGTGTTGGGTGGTGTGGCGTCAGCTTAGTTTTATTTGTAATCAAATTTCAGTTAAAGGCTTGCTATTTTCATTTAATTTTATCAATAATTGTGTTTTCGACGACACCCGCAGCACGAACTTTGCTGTACAGTCAACTTACTTGTTGTAGAGCACGATATCGGGCCTCCAGATGTGATCGGATGGCACGTGCAGCATGGTCACGCCACCATACTCCTTCGGCTCCCACTTCAGCTTGTAGTCCTCCCAGTGCTGAGCGACAGCGAATTGGACCATGCATTAGGCCAGTCCGTAAAAGCGAGGTTTATTATCTGGGCAGATCGCGACAATGCGCCGAAGTATCCAGCAACAGCGATGTCCGAAGACTAGCAGTCGGTTAGTGACGAGGAAATACGCGTCCCCTCTTGTAGAACATTCGGTAGATATACGGGGCACATCGCGTCGACAGGCTGTTGTGGTAGTGGTGGCGCAGTGGTAGTTTTTGGCGCGTAAACAAGTGTCCGCGGCTTCCAAGAGCTGTTAATTCATACTTCGAACGGTGACCACTCGGGGACCCGTGGGGCGCCGGCCTTTCCGGCGCGCCAGCCGCGTGATCGTGCCCCTGGGACGGCGACGGTGCCGCCATGCCGTGACCCTGGGGCGGCTGGGGCGGCGCCCTATCCGACCTGCACGGCTGTCGGGTCAGCAAATACAGCTATGAGCGCGCGTCCAGTATGTTTGGAGCGGCCAGTGAGCAGCAGGTCCAACAACAGCGTGCACAGTTTCCGTTTTACAGAAATATTTATCACAGGCAAAGATGTTTGATGGGAGTGATTTCGTCCGTAGCGCAGGCTTTGTCACTTTCCACCATTGGCTGATGTTTTGACCGTGCTCAGCTCGCAACGGCAGCTGGGTTCGCAATGGGACAGCTCCATTGGTGATGATCAGGCAGAGGACGGCGGCGCTCGCGGTGCACCGACATCGCTACGCAGCCTGCAGGCTGCAATGCTGTCAGTCTCGCTTGCTGGCCTTGCCTTGTCTGCCAGATACTGCGGGGCGCAGAAGACGTCCCCGCCGAAGGCAGCGAGGTGGAGGACGGGAAAATAGCTACTGATGAGGCAGAACATTTTGGACTTCCGTCGGCCATGTTTCAATGACTGTTGACGTTTGAAAAGCTCGAGGCAGCTTTCACTTACTCTGTTGGGTCCATTTACGTTTCGCGGCGAGATGAAGGGGCCATAGCTGAGCTGGCTTTGTTTTAGTTTGAGCTCTTCTGACACATGAGGATTAAATTAGTTGCAGGCTTGAGAGGCTGGAGCGAACACAGGGTGCCACACTGAGGACACCCGGAGCATAACACAGCGACCTGCTTTGTCACAAATGATAAGCCTCGTCCGATTTTATAGTAAGACCCCGAGTAGCTGATGACATCGCCGAAAGCTTGGGCTGTGTTACCAAGCTCCCCGCCGGGCAAAACCCACCACAGAGAGGATGTGCCAGGAATGTAAAAAGTTTGGTGGGCAGGCAGGGATCACGTAGAAATTCTACTGCAGCCACATCAACGTCAGTTTATTGGCGAAACCACATCCTGAAGGCGTAAGGTTGCTTTGTTGCTTTGCCTTGTTGCGCCGGTACTGTGCTGACACTGGTACCAGACTCAGAGCTACTGCACCCAAATAATAGCCAAACAATCTGCCCACTTACCTGTTCTACCCACAGGTTCGTCGTCATGATCTGGTTCTTCAGATTCTGAAATAGAAGGACGAGAAGCCTCAGACAACAGAATTTGGGTGCAATTGCATTTTGTCGGCGATTCATGCATTACGGGCCTGTTCTGATCAAGCTTTGGAATGCTTTAGATTTGAAAATCTGCTAGCTATTTTAAATGCATAGAAAAGGCACAACAAAGCTTAAAACACGCCTCGCATAGATACATTGTCCAAAGTCTTCAGCCACCCCCTAAGCGGCACCAATCAGCATTCTGCCTCGACGTAGGTGCTCAGAGTGCCTTTTAAATCAATCGCGTCGATCGTCGACAGAGCTTTCTTTTCCGATGGCACGAGCGGTCTCATGCGATGGCAGCAGGAGTTGAGCCGGTGCGGACGCCCCGAGAAAAGCGCGTGTTTAGACAGCGTCCGCCGGCTCGCCGCGTGACCCAGTGTTCGGCAGTCCGCGGACGCGAATCCGGCTTAACCAGGCCCCGATCAATAGTGACGCGATTGAGACGAATGGCGGCGGATGACGGTCAAAAACGCGGCGGCCAGCTCGCGCCGGAGCCGTGCGCCGGCCTCGCAGCGTGCGCTGTTGGCCACTGGATCATCGGGAGGCCAAGTTTCGCCTCGAGCCGAGCGGCGACCGCCACGGCCAAAGTTTTTACCCGGCGACGAGGATCAGAGAGTCGCTTTTACGTGGTGCGTGACCGAAAGAATGATGTGGAAATGAAGGATTATCGTGAAATTAAAAAAAGAGAGAAATGCATAGTGCGGAGGAACAGAGATCGTAATTCGCGAGGAGAGGGGGAAAGTGTGAGAGAGACAAAGGTGGAGAGGGCGAGAGAGAGATTGAGAGAAAAGGGGAAGGGAGGGCGCAAGAAGGAGAAAGCGAGAGAGAGAGAGAGAGAGAGAGAGAGAGAGAGAGGAGGAGAGAGAGAGAGAGAGAGAGAGAGAGAGAGGAGAGAGAGGAGAGAGAGGAGAGACGAGAGAGAGAGAGAGATGAGAGAGAGAGAGAGAGAGAGAGAGGAGAGAGAGAGAGAGAGAGAGAGAGAGAGAGAGAGAGAGAGAGAGAGAGAGAGAGAGAGAGAGAGAGAGAGAGAGAGAGAGAGAGAGAGAGAGAGAGAGAGAGAGAGAGAGAGAGAGAGAGAGAGAGAGAGAGGAGAGAGAGAGAGAGAGAGGAGAGAGAGAGAGAGAGATCAGAGGACGGAGAGAGGTGCACCACACCGTAGCCCCGTGACACATCCATCCCGCAGCTCCACGCATCATGTCCAGCAGCAGACGTCAGCAGTTGTGCCCGGGTCGCCGACGGCGCGAGCTAGGACATACACCGCGGTCGCTGCCGCCCGAGCGCGTCGGCCGGCTAGCGCTGCCAAGAGGATGTCACAATCGGTCAGGCGGCGAGGGTGAGCCATCCGTCGGGCCAGGCCTGGACAGCGCGCCGTCACCGCCACCCCGCCACCCGGCCGCTAATGAGGCGAGACAGCTCGCCGACGCGCGCCGCGTGGCGCGTACGGCGCGCGTCGCGGCCGACGCCGACGGCTTTCAAGACTGCACCGGCGGGGCGACGATGTGCAAAGACGGGTCCAGCCGGCGGCCGGCCGGCAGCAGTGGCGATCAGCTGCGGCGGTCTCGACGGCTGCCGTCTTCGCGACCCCGCCGGAAGGAACACCCAGGTGGCGTCCAGTAGCGGATGGCAGGTCGGGCGGTCAGTATCAGGCGACGCGACACGCTTTCGTGGACGATGCCATGGCCGTTTTGGGGCAGCCGCTCAGAACGCGATACATGTGGACAGCGATGACGTGCACGTGTCGCGTGCAGTTTGCTATCTAGGTCAAGTTGCCGAATAAACGAAAGTAGCTTTCCATATGCAAATGGCTTTCTCAGTATGTGAAGGTATGCTAACGACAATGACTGGCATTCCCGCGATTTTCTGAAACGTTTAGTTTAAACGTGACTGCTTCTGAGCAGTCGACGGGTTTGCAATGGCGGCATTTGTCCCGACGCATGTGCACGAACATTCAGCGGCTCTCAACGCGTCGTAACATGCCCACATCACGCGCGATGTGATACGCGGTGCCAATGAGTAAAAACAGTGATGCATTTAGGACTGAGTATCCATAGCTCCTGCGTACTTGCAGCACGTCCTGCAGTATAGTTCCCGCGTACTGTGCAGAACGTCGTCCAGTATAGTTCCTGTGCACTGTGCAGCGCGTCCTGCAACAGCACGGCCAGTGTGGCGATTCCATCCGACGTGTGGCGGCCACAAAATGGTCGCCGCGGGAGGACCGTGTCGTTCGGCCTGTCGGTTTCGCCACACAATCAAGTTCTTCGGAGCCCCGTGAGAGGTGGAGAGCCGGCGCCGGGAGCGATGAGCTTGTTTAGCGGCGTCTGGTGAGCTTTTGCAGCGTGGAGCGCAATAGAGGGCCGACTTAGCTCAGTTGGAATCGAAATGGCATGGTAATAGCGGTCCGGTGGAGCAGCAGCTCGCGCTGCAAAACTGAAGAGGGCTTTGCAGCTTCTCTCTGGATGTGATCTGAGGATAAATCACGGTAGATGCATCAAAAAGATGCAGCGCGAAAGGAAGACCAGCGTTGCATCAATGGTGGCTTCCGTTCGCACCATACTGTTGTGCCGTGCTAAGGGCATGATCACTTTTGGTGATGAAAACTCGTGACACACAAATTCCCATTCTAACCTACGTCAAGGGGGGAAGGGAAGTACAATGGCCGGTCATCTTTACCGTCTGCACCGAAACACCACAACAATAGCATCAGACACATCCAGGTCGGTAAAAAATAGCCTTGGTTGGCATCTCAGCTATCTCAAATAAAACCAGCGAGTTGTGCCTGTCTCAGCGTAAACTCCGTCATACTTTGAAGCCACTGACCGTAGTCATAGTCGTGGGGAGGCAGACAAGCGGTATTTCGTCAAGGGGGCCATTTGTCAGGGAGTCCTACAACCTCACGGCCCCGCCGTCTTACTTCAGGGAGTCCCACAATCTCACGGCCCCGCCGTCTTGCTTCCCGGCCTAACTTTGCTAATCTTTTCGGATTGAACCCGCTCTTGTGTACACAGGATCCCGACCACAAGCTTCTTCGCCATCCAGAGATCTCACGCTTCAAGAAACCTCGCATAACAGACTTTCATAATTGGTCAAGTTCGGCTTCTTCAGAAACATAAGCATACAATATAAATGCACGTGTCCTTCTGGTATCTGGTGGGTGATCTTGGACCACCTCTCTGGCCCCTAACTCTTCAGGGGGGGGGGGGGGGAGTGCACCAACCATTTTGGGCAGCGCCTTGATCCTTGGTCATATGCAATGTCCGCGCGGTGGTTCTGTGACGGGTCTCTGAAATGTTGAGAAACGATGTGCGTGCTTCGAATCCGTTTTCCCATTTCGATCATCAACGACGCTTTGTTATGATTGCACGGTGCTCACATCGTTATTCGAGTTTATTCGTCTGCGTGAATATTTTAAGCCTTCATTGGAACATTTCGATGCTACTGCTGGTCCCATCCGAGAACAGTTTTATGTTCTGTCGAATTTCAATGCCGGTTTGTATTCGGACTGACAACAATTGAACAGAGTCCTCGGTCGATTAAAAAAGTTCTGATCGCAATACAAATAGACGCCAAGGAGAGGATCAAACAGAACATTAGCTTACAAGGGCCTCGAACTAGTCGTATTAAGGCAGCTCTGTTATTGATGCAGCAGTTATTACGGCATAAACACATATATGGCAACACGTGAAAAGCATAGACATGACAGAGTCAACATCGCTATCAATGCACGTTGGCGCCTTTGTCATGAGCGCTGCCACTGCAACCGACGCACAGCCGCCCGGCCACCGCTTTTGACAGACTGAACAGCGACGGACAGTTGGAAAAGTAGGAAGACACGTGCATAAATACGTGAGGGCCTTAACGAAGTACGTGGTTCAAAGGTTCAGGCCAACTGTGTAACCAGCTTTATCGCACAGGGTGTCAAAAACACAAGGAATCAATTTGAACTCTCATCTGCCGGACTTGCTTCGCTCGCATTGCGAGTGGACCTTACGCATTCTAATGACCTGGACTAACGAAGAACAGTTAGTCCTGTGCCTTTCTCAAAACTGCCTCCGGATGTATTATACCGATATCAAGAACCCAACCATGTGACGTTAGGTAATAAGACCAATCGCGTTCCGATTCCTAACACACGTTATTGCGAACAATGTCACAAATGACGCTTTCAGCAGTTATTTATAACAGCTGTTCGGACATGGCGGCTACTCAAGGACCGTTCGTAACCCACAGATGTAGCATGAGAACACATGAGCTCATAAATATTCGCTGCATAAGTGTGTCTCCTAATGACGGGTCCCACCAGCCCACACGGAGATGTGCCGCCATAGTGACTTGTTTCCATTGATTTTGGCACGGCGCCAAACAGCACATTCCGTGTGGCATTAGGGATTCAGCTCTGTTTAGCTGGCTTCCGCTGTTCTGCCTTATGGTCTGTTTACACGGACGTTTGAGTGTGAGCGTCGGACGACTTCACGTAGGTACAGGACACGGCCCGCGTCGGAGGCGCGTTCGAGGCGTATTTGCCCGCGTCATGATGTTGCCGGACGCGTCATGCTTTTCGACGGCAGTCGCTGCTTCACACAGGATGTGTCTTCTTCTCCCGTCCAATTCAGCTTGATCAAGCGCAACGTTTTTGAAGGCAGGGAGAACCCAAAGCATTATGGTTCATCAATTGCATGGCAAAGACATAACTTATTTGTCGACATATTTTTAGATGATTAGAGGTGGGTTATCGGCTGCAATTTCTTGCAGACCTGAATATTCCGGTAATTTGAACGGTCATTTGGTCCTCAGGTATGCCTTATAATGCTTTGCCTATGCCTATCCTTGCAATGAGCAAACCGCCTTGAATCTCAGTTCGAAGACACTAGTATTCTTTATGCGTCAGATTTATTTGTGAGGTCACCTGCTTTCGTCGCACATCCGACGCGCAGCATCCGTGTGGAACAGGTGGTTCACCGTGCGGCCATGTGAACGGATCATAACATGCCTGGAAGACGTCACACTTTTGTCATGACGCAACAGTTTTTGACACCCGTGTAGAACGACAACTTACGAGTTACATACAATGGAATTACAAATTATATATACCGACAAGTGAGCGGACGACAGGCAGCACGTGTGAGCGGATGACAGGCAGCACGTGTGAGCGGATGACAGGCAGCACGTGTGAGCGGACGACAGGCAGCACGTGTGAGCGGATGACAGGCAGCACGTGTGAGCGGATGACAGGCAGCACGTGTGAGCGGATGACAGGCAGCACGTGTGAGCGGACGACAGGCAGCACGTGTGAGCGGACGACAGGCAGCACGTGTTGGCCTTCGTAAGGCAGACATCATGCGACTGGTTGCGCGTTGGTTTGGGGGCGACAAGATGTATGAGCCTGTTAATTTCAGACTGCATGTAGTAGCCTTCTAGTGTCAGAATACAGGCACTGGCTTGGCAGTGTCTGAGTGCGTGCGTTTATCATGTGGTTGCCCAATTATGAAGTCACAGTGACGCACGGGACCCACCATGATAAGACTTATACACGCCGTCTGACACACAATATTACGCTGTTATCATCCAAGAGCTGGTGTTAACACCGGTCGTTTTGACTGCATGTGACATGTCGTGGAGGTCAGGCCACATGTGATAAGCTAACGCGACAGGCAGTAGGTGACAGACTGCATGTGGCAGATTGCATGCCAGTATAATGTGAGCACATCAGGTCTGACAACTACAGGCGAGCACGTGCAGCCCCGGGTCTGAACCTTCAATGTGATCAAACTGTCTGACTATCTATGTCTTCAGCTTGTCTGTCTACCTCTACCTTCGACCCGCGTGTTTACCTCTACCACTAGCCCGCCGGTATGTCTCGCCGCCCCACCAGCAAACGCACCAAACCGAGGGCACGCGCTCAACGGAAAACAAAAGCCACCGGACCTGCGATCGGCACGGGTGCTCCTTTTTCGAGCGTGATTGTGCCCGGCGTCTGCCCGCCGTCGCTCGGGCCACAGCTCGGCGTCTGCCCGCCGTCGCTCGGGCCACAGCTCGGCGTCTGCCCGCCGTCGCTCGGGCCACAGCCCGGCGTCTACCCGCCGTCGCTCGGGCCACAGCTCGACGTCTGCCCGCCGTCGCTCGGGCCACAGCCCGGCGTCTGCCCGCCGTCGCTCGGGCCACAGCTCGACGTCTGCCCGCCGTCGCTCGGGCCACAGCTCGACGTCTGCCCGCCGTCGCTCGGGCCACAGCTCGACGTCTGCCCGCCGTCGCTCGGGCCACAGCTCGACGTCTGCCCGCCGTCGCTCGGGCCACAGCTCGACGACGCCCGGGACAGAGTGTCAAGCTGTTGCAACATGCATGAAATGGAGAACAGATCCCTCGCCGGCCGGGTGTTCGGCGCTCGTCTGGAAATTAAAAACGTCGGCCAGGAGGCGTTGGACTTTGTGGGATGGCAACTGTTCGACGCCAGAGCGACATAAATTCACTGCAGGCAGTTGGAAGCGTTGTTTGGATGAAACCGGATCAAGGCTTCATCGTCTACATGTTAATTGGGGGTGGACTGATAAATTGGTTGTAGTGATAGTGCATGCCTTGGTAGTCGAAGTTGTCGAAAAAATCGAAATGGACCGCTTGCTTGCGATGTTTCATGTTACATGGAACACCGATCTTGCGTGATTCGTTTGACTGCTGCATGTTATATGTAGGATATATAAAATAAGTGCAACATACTGCATTGACGAGTAACCGTATAAATACAACAGAGCCCCGACGAAACCGTCAAATAAATTCAAACAGACATTGGGTCAAGTTGAAAAAGTTAACAGCCACGTTCGCAGTGAACCAACCGACAAATAATACAAGCCTTCGAAATCATTCATACTGACATACTCCACAGATCCTACGCCATCTGGCTTTCGCTGCGACACGGAAGACAAATGTTCTGCGTGACGTCACGTAGAATGTAGCATTCTTGGTGCATCGTGAATACACTCAGACTTTATTGACAACTCTACCATAAGGCAAAACCCGATGTACTTGGCGATGGTAAGTTTCTATACCCTTTGCATTATTCTTCAGTTGACAGCAAAATATGTACCTTGGCAACACAAAATTGGATGTTTGCTTGCGTCCTGTTATGCTACGAATTTTCTCCAACTTTAATGCAATCTAAATTTCAGGGAAAACAACGCATTGCATCGTATTGTACACAATCAAGTATTGGGTTTTATCGAAATGGAACGTCAGATAAGAAATGGCATTTGGGCAAGCCAGCTGATCGCCCCTCCCGTCCCCTCGGCTCTGCTCTCTGTGGTCACGCCGCGACCGTAACTGCAGTGAGACCCTCACGCCTTTCTCCGCCGCGGTGGTGGCCGGGCCGACCGCAGTTGCCGCCGCGGCGCAGGACTGATTGTCCGGATCAGTCGTCCAGGCGCGCGCCGGCCCGCCGGCGGTGGCGACACGGCGCCGGCCGGGGGAGGCGCCGCCCTGGCCGCTCCCGAGGGGCGCCTCCCGGGCGCCGGACTCCAGGAGCGGACGGGCGCGCGTGGCCGGTGACACGCCGGCGGCGCTAATGGCGCGGCGCAAATAGATCCGTTCTCGGACAGACGGCAGTCTCAGCCTGCTGGAGCGCCGCTGTCCGAGCCCACGGCCGGGCCGGGACGCCGCGTCAGGGAGGTCGGAGTTTATGCCGTGGTCTTAAGGCGGATTAGCGCGTTTTGCCGCTGGATGATGATGATAGACGACGAACAACCAGACGGCCTCTGTGATCGATAGTCAAAGACGCTGATGGAAATCCAATTGAGAGCTGAAATGATTCGAACCGGAGGCCAGCCGGGTAAAACGCTCCGTCCGCTATGCTAAGCGACGTAGTGGAGGCGGGTTGTGCTCACCATGGTTGCAAATACGAGCTGACATGCTTTGCACATTCACGGTGGGTATCACCTTGAATCGCAATGTGCGTTTCTTTCATTCTGCGCAGTACGAGAACGACAAATGTGAGTTACGGAAAAAAATGTCACACATTGGTGGCACCCGCAGTGCACACCACATGACACATAAACGCCCTAATGATGGCATTATCTTTTGCTGATACACAACGCGGGAGGTGGCACAAATTAGACGTTCGCCTACTCTGCTTCATATTAATATTGCGGAGGTGCGCGTATCGGCGCGTACACTTCAGGTCACATGTGTACTAACTGATCCGACTGGGGTGTGGACGCTTCGTCGGCTTCTTCGTCAAACAAACGTGCACGGTGTGCCTGTTCCCAGCTCATTGCTTCGTTTGGTACCATTACCGAGATACTCATGGCTGCGGGCATTCAGCGAACGTCGAGAGTAAGGCGTATGCGTGAACTACGGTTTTGGTTGAATTTATGAGCTACATCTCTGGAAGAGCCCATTGTCATCCATTCTCTTACAGGTCCAAAAAGCCTACAGAATTCCAAGTAACTGCAACTTCAGGCATACTTCATAGATAACGTGCGTCCTCACGTGCTGATGTGCCAGTGGCGTGCTGATCACGGCAGATGCAAAACTTCCTAACAAATGCTCCGTGTGCAAACGATATTTATGTCTCTATTATTTTTATGCAACACCATACACCTTTGTTAAAGTTCTGAGATGTTGCGGAGGCGGCAGCATGTCCAATTAGCAGAGAAGTTACACCCACGGCTCAGGGTGTGGTAAGCGACGGCAACGACACCATGCATAATACAGCAGGAAATCTAACTTCCACTTCTTTAGGTTTTTGAACAATTTGAAGTGTTTCTTCTATGTCAACTGCTGTTGAGCTTTCCTCGCCGACTCAACCCAAGAAAACAGATCTCATTGCAAGCCGGTGCGACAGATTACGAGGAATCGTTTAAGAATACTTGACACACGATCTGCAGTCTATGTCGTAACATATTTAAGACTTGAGCAGGCCGGAAAGGGCCGTTTATCTAAATCGCACGAATCCATGCCACATAAGCCGCACATGACAGACATAATGGTATATCTTTACAGTTTCTTTACCAAGCTGATTTTCCTGGGACTAAAGCTGCCAGTATTCACTAGAGACTGCATATGCATTTCTGTAGTCAAAATCCGTTTTGGGGGTCTACAGCACTCTGGCCCGTGAGTTTTTCTGGCGTGATCAACGAGCATACGGAAATTCATTCACATGACATCGGGTGATCTGTGCCGACGAGCTTTAATTCTGCAGTCACCGAGGGATATTTTCTACACAACACACTGAATGGGCGTCTTTTTATCTTAACCCGCGCACACAGAGCCAATAACTGATCAGTGGCAGCAACGGAAAAAAGCCAAGCAAAAAACAAACTACGCTCATAACACGCCACTCGGTAGCTGCAACACTTTGGACTGTGAGACATGCTTTTTGGACTGTGGGACATGTGTTTTAGACTGTGGGACATGCATTTTTGACTGTGGGACATGCGTTTTGGACTGTGGGACATGCATTATGGACTGTGGGACATGCGTTTTGGACTGTGGGACATGCATTTTGGACTGTGGGACATGCTTTTTGGACTATGGGACATGCGTTTTGGACTGTGGGGCATGCGTTTTGGACTGTGGGACATGCGTTTTGGACTGTGAGACATGCGTTATGGACTGTGGGACATGCGCTTTGGACTGTGGGACATGCATTTTGGACTGTGGAACATGCATTTTGGACTGTGGGACATGCGTTTTGTCGCAGTGTTACTGATGACGTCAATAAGCAGCTCGAGAACAAACATGTGCTGGTTCCGATAACTCATTTTGCGTTAAATCAAGGCAACTGGAAACGTGCAGAGATTGTAAATGCGTGAAGCAGACCAGGAAAAGTCCATTCTAGCCATCATCGGCTCAAACTCACTACGCTAATAACTGGCCACAAAGTGAAACTGTCTATCTGAATTATAAGCTGATGCAATCAGCAGTTAAAACTCACATTGTCTTATAAAAATTTAGAAAACCAGCCCATTACTTTGCATATCAAGGACAGCAACGCGCGAGTATGCATCAATGACATGACAAATGGCATCCCTCCTGCCAGTCTCCTGGGACTCAGGCCCATCCTCTCGAGCATGAGTGGTAAGATAATGCCTTTTGGATCTTCGTCAGCAATTACATTGACATTTGCATGCATTTGGATCCTATAGTATCGTCAGCAGCAGCCTAAAATATCACAAGGCCAAACTGGCACCACCGATCTCAAGCCGTCATGATCCTATCTGCCTTTCAGTAAATAACCTTGACCTTGCCGTTAAGTTCTTTCCACAAGTCACATTCGTTGTTCATTTAAAGGTACAAAAAGTTTCCGACTTTGTGTCTCTCTTTGTCCGGCGGTTATGCATGGAATCCGAAATCGGTGCAAAAAAGCACTAGCGGCTCGCGAGCTAGCGGTGGCCACGCGACTCTGTCCATCCATCTCGTAGTGGATTACTACTAGTGGTGGCACAACCTGGAACTCACAAAACAAGAACTGGGCAGCTTTTCAGTAGCTACTGAGCCTCGGAACCCATGGGTACAATCACTGGGGGGGGGGGGGGGGCTGCCTGCGTGCGGGGGAGGGGCACATCTCAATTTTCACGAGTTGGGAGTCTCCTCTGATCTTGAACACGGCACCCGTTTTTCAATTGTTTGGTTCAAAATTACATTGTCAGGGTTAGGTTCTCCTCCCCGGAATCCATCCCCCCCCCCGGGTCCTGAGTTGTCCCTCCCAGTCTCAGTGACGTGGTTACACCCATGTCTGACGCTAAGCATACCAAAAACTACTTGGCACAAATATACCACGTGTCGCCCATGACTTCCCGGACACAGATAAAACAGCCATGCACATTAACACCTTTTTCCAAGCCAAGGCGTACGAGCGCCGCCCATGCGCGTGACTGCGGACACGACTCGTCGGCGAGGGAGCCTAATACCTCCCTTGACACGACGCCAGGACCCTTCCCCCCCAGCTCCCTCTCCTTCGGATACGAGCCGGGCACTCACCACGTCGATGAGCTGGGAGAGCTTCAGCTTGATCTGCACCTTGAGCGGGTCGGTGACGTTGACCACCGGTCGCACCAGCTTGTTGTAGTTGGAGAGCAGGTCGTCGTAGAGCCGCTTGGCGTCAGGGTTGCCGGCGCAGCCTGCGCGCACCAGGCAGCAGACCGTCAGCACCAGCAGCGCGCATCCCGCGCCGGGCATGGCTGCCGGCCGCCGCCGCCGCCGCCGACGCACTGGCTGCCGAGGCGAGCGGCGGCGCGGCGGCGGCGGCAGCGGCGCTGTCGCCCGCCGGATTACGCGGTGACGCCACGAATTACCGAGCGCGTGCGTTATGAATCCGAAGCCGGCAGGCGTCTGGCCGGCCGAGCACGATGAATAAATGATTGTGGCGCGGGCGGGATGCATGCCACTCGGAGGCGCCGACAAATGGCTCGTCACCGCGCGCGTGAGCGCTGAGAGGCGCGCCGACTCCACCGCCGGCGGACCGAAAACAGGCTCGCTTGCAATCCGCAGCAGGCAGATGAAAACAAATTTTCCAGATGTCGCCGTAAAAACTTCCGGAAACGAGGCTGCTTGCGACTCCTAGCGCTCGGGGCAAGACGCAATTGGTTCTTGGGTAGTACGCACGGACATTTCGGATTGGGGTGCGTAGATCTGTGATGAAGTGGCTGCCGGGGCAGCCCTGCCATAGCAACGTTTACTGCCGTGGCGTGAGCAAAATCTTGCGATGAAAACTTTTCGGGGAAGTACCGATGAAGTCGTTTCGGGTGTTAGCCATTGTAAGGAAAGATGGCAGTGATAATAAATTTAAATCCCATTAGGTCTGAAGCCGGTTCTCTCACGACTGCTCGTTTTTACCCATGGCCAGACCAATTTCTTTCGGCTGGATTTCTTCCCTTGCAAACTTGCATCTCCTTGATTTATTAGGCTGATGTTTTCTCTATTTTGAGTTATGGAGTTTTACCCCTTTTCGACTTTTCGTATGGTATGTGCCACCTTGAAACTCACCTATTTCGTTTCAATTCATGTTCCTGAATTCTGGCTTTTATCACCGCTTACCTGCGTTGTGTTGTAGCATGTATCGCCCGCTTTTACGGCCTTTAGTTTTTTGTACTTTGGTTTCCTGCTCTTGACTTTCCCAGCTGACTAGCGATTTCCATTTTATCTGCCGCCCCCTAACCAACGAACCCTAAGCACCTCTGTGACGCTACTGATCTCATCAGGGGATATGATCGGGCATGCATGACGCACATGCAGGACAGCCTCAACCGAATGGAACAAAAACACAAGTCTGTCGTCAGGACGCCTTTCAGTACCAGCGACTCGGAGCCGCAGGATAGAGCTCTGATGTCAGGAGAGGGCTGCCCGCACGGACACAGATCATTACGGAGGGCGTCACCAGACTCGCCTTACGTAACAAGCAGGTCGGGCACGGCACGCCAGCACGGTGCCTCGAATCACCGCCTTAACCTGAGCGAAGACACCGAATCAGAAGGCGTCGCGCAACAAAACGCAGTTGTGGCGCACGCAATCCATGTATGGAAGCATGTATGTATGTAATATCCATGCTGACGGGTAGTAAGGATTGAGGCATAAATTGGCGATTACATTAAGAAAAAGTACAAGGGAGACATCTGTAGTTGTATTAGTATTTGTTGTTACAATCCAGTGATTTCCGGGTAAACGGCGATATTATTAGCGTGTAAACGTTTGCGCCACATCTTTCAGCCGTGAATGGCACAAGTGTTGAGATGAGAGGCACTGTGTAAAAAGCTACTCTGTAAACCGATGAGAATATATCGGCATGTAAAGCAATGCTAGAAAAATCAAGCTGAAAAGTATAGGAAAGGCCCAGGCGATATTGTAAAGCAGTGTCAGCCAAACGCTGCGGTCCCGTTTGGTCTGGAAGAAATTCATAGCCCACCAAGCGTGGATTTCTTGAAGACTCCGGAAGCGGAGAACTTTGCCAAGTTTTTTGAGGGATCTCCCAGTGGAACGTAGTTGTTGTGACGAGATTAATATGAGTTTGTGTGAAAGTCAAGAGCCCGACGATGTGAAAAATGTGTGGCAGGACGCACAAGCGGTGTTTAATGAGGCGCATTATGCTTGTGTTTTTTTTCTGAAAACAAAGCTTTGATTTCTGCAATAGTTCGCTCCCTTCGGACTTCAAAAGACGCAAAAATAAACGTGCTACTGGAAAAGGAACTAAGTAACGCCAGCCATCACCCAAAGCCGACGTAACGCTCGCATCAGCGGGGTTTCAGTAAATTTTCAGCTGACGAATAGTAACGGCTAAATACCTAAAATATGCATAGCATAGAAATTGGTACCTGTTCTTGCAGAATTTGGAGAAAGGCGCGATACGAATATCACTTTCAGGCTGGATCCGTGCATTTTCTTGTATTCTTGCGTGCATGCGTGCAGTAGAACGAAAGCCATGCAGATCGGCTTGGCGCACGCTCGCGGGCAGGTGCTCCATCGGACCACGCAGCACGTCCGGGTTCATAGATCTGGCGACCTGATGAGTGTGGATGACCAGCTGTTGACCTGATGGATGTGAATGACCAGTAGTTGACCTGATCGATGTAGATGACCAGCTGTTGACCTGATGGATGTGGATGACCAGCTGTTGACCTGATGGATGTGGATGACCAGCTGTTGACCCGATGGATGTGGATGACCAGCTGTTGACCTGGTGGATGTTGATGACCAGCTGTTGATTCAATGGATGTGAATGACCATCTGTTGACCTGATGGATGTTGATGACCAGCTGTTGACCTCATGTGGCCGCTCTGTGCATCTCTAGCTGCATGATACCCCACCTATCAAGTGCATTTAAAACATATTACGCGGACTGACGTGCGGCGTGACAGCGTGGCTCCTGTCGATCTGTTTAAGAAGTGAGGTCCACCAATCGTCCGGTGAAAATGAGAAAGAACTGGTGGTCTGAGCCAAAAACGGAGCCAGTACTGGTGGTCTGAGCCAAAAGCGGAGCCAGCACTGGTGGTCCGAGCCAAAAGCGGAGCCAGCACCGGTGGCGAACGGCCAGACAACATACGGCACGCGCAGGCCAGTTGTTGGCCCGGGACGTGCAGCGCGACAGCGCGGCGCTGTCCGCTTCACAGTCGCGTTGCTGCGACTCCGTTGTGCCGAAGAGACCGATGGCGACCATAGGCTGCTGACAGATCTCTCCATCGTCGGCGCTGGCTGTTAGCGATCGCTTCCGATCGGTCGCGCAACATCCATCGGAAGGGCCACCGCGATGTCAGGAGGCGGCCAGAAATGTTTCAGCACGCAACGCTGTGCCGACAGCGCGCCTGCGGGCAGCCGCGTGTCTTGAAAATGGCCGCGTGGGTAGGAAGGTCGATATCGTGTATGCGTCAGACAGGCGGTCGCCGGCACTGCCCGATATCGCTGTCCGACATTTCATAAATGCAGGGAAGACTGCCCCCCTCTCCCCCCCATGCAGCTCTGGCCGGTCACAGCAAGGTGCCCATCGCTCCCGTGTGAGAAGTGTGACAGTACCCATAACAGAGGGCATACACCCAGTTTTGGGTCTAATCAAGAAAAGCCTGGATTGGATATGTCTGCTTGGGATGAGCACGGTTGACTGCGGCATTACTACCAACTCACATCTCTGATAATAACCAGGTGGCCTTCGGGAACTCGATGTTCAAGCAAAGAAATGGAGTGGCGATAGGCAGCCGCTGCGCACTTCCGCACCACCGCTAGCGAAAGGGTTGATGCACAGTCTTGAATCATCCTTTTGAGCTAAATGTGGTCTCAGATCTAACTCGTTAAAAATTTTAGTTACATCAAGGACATTTTTGGCATCTGGATACATGGCTAAGCTCACTGTCAAACTTCTTCGCAAAAAATCAACAACACTCCAGTATTTCCTCACTGGAACACATCACACACAACTTGTCAATCTCACTCCTCGACTCAGTTTATGTGGTATAACCCGACGGAATCTATATCTCAGAGCTCTACTTTAAACCCATGGCCGTGCATATCACACTACATTACAATTCGACGCACCCCATGGCTCCTTGGAAAGCAGTCCTTATTTCACAGGTGCGGAGAGCGGTGTCCGGTACCTCATGACCCATGACAGTGTGAGCGTAGTCGGAGTAAAATGTTCCTCGTGTTCCGTGGCAACGGATGCTGAGAACACGAGCTGAGCTGAATACACAAGTCAATGCCTCCGCACGGTCGGGCGGTATGTACGGTCTGAGGATAATGTGGGCTATTAGTCCTTTTTAAAGTCCATGTCGGAACCATTAGCGGTCCATATTCCTAATGTGTCCAGCTGCTGGTATAATTTGCTGTACGTGTTTTAATGGATTGAAATGGAAATGCACCAGGAGGAATATAGTAATCAAGACAATCCGAAGCCTGTATCCAGGAATGTTTTATGTATGAAAACAAAACGTAGCATTCGTGACCGATTTAAACATCGCCTTGATTCGCCGTGGTTCAAAACGCAGACCAGTGGGGGGGGGGGGGAGGGGGAAGGGAGCGGTCGATGTGATTCTCACGGCGTTTCCAAATTTATGAGAAAAATCTCAGCGGAACACACCAGTGGATTGCTTTTAGAGATTTCGTAATTTAAACTAGTTTGCGTACTCACAGGTCAATAATTGTCCCGAATATTCTTAGTCAAGTTAAAAATTTTAACAAACGCACTTGTTTACCTTCACATACAAACGATGCAATAGCTTGTGGCGACACAAAACATGCGTGTTCCCTGATCAATTCTCACATCAAAAGTGTGCATTTCTATTCGCTTTTTAGCATATGTGCATGATGGTTCCGGTAATGTAATAATGTCGGCCGGCCGCGCGCGCTCCGCGGCGTCGTCGGTTGCCGCCGCTGTCCACTATGCCCGTATTTCGTCGTGCAGTGTTACTCAAGAACAGTCGAGGCTTCGAAATAAGAAAAAAACTACGGACACGTTCATGGTATGAAAATACCGTTCCGCAAAAACCATCACTGCTTCGAAATTACAAAAGCTGGGAATACGTTGATGGTATCAAGATAAGCACAATGGGTCTTTTATAGCCTACTGACAATTTGGGCGCAATTGCACAACATTCGGGAGACGTATGCATACTTCTCTTAGGGAGAGGGGTTCTCTCA